CTTGATCGTGAAAGGGACCAAATAGTCAGCTTTTTTGTGTATGCTTTTGATGGGAAGCATAGAGGACAAGCGTTAGTAAGAATTACCCTCGACGACGTTAATGACAACGCCCCATATTTTCCCAGTGCACCGTACGTGGGATACGTAGAAGAGAATCTAAATCCTGGGGCAAGCGTTATGGTTCTTCAAGCCGTTGACTTGGATACAGGCATCAATGCAGAGATAGTGTACGAGCTGCTGAACAGTGCAAATAATAAGTTTGGTATTGACCGGGACACTGGACTGGTGACCACTCGCGAAACCCTCGAAAGGGAAGCAGCCATTAACGAGTTCACCATCCAGGTAAAGGCCACAGATAAAGGAAACCCGTCGCTGAGTGGAGTTGTTACAGCTACCGTGAAAGTTTCCGATGGAAACGACCAATTCCCAGTGTTCAATCCCACGGTTTACAACGCCAAAGTTCCAGAGGACGCGTTACCCGGGTATTCCGTTACATTAGTGACCGCCACGGATAATGACTTAGGGCCAAATGCCGAGTTAGAGTTTACCATTACAGCTGGCAACGACCCTTACCAGTTCTACATCGACCCGAAAAGTGGCGCTATACTTGTGTCAGGTCTGCTGGATTTTGATCATGGGAAAAGGAACTACAACTTGACGGTGATGGTCAGCGATCGCGGCGTTCCACCCAAAAAGGCGGACAAGCCAGCGTTTGTTTACATCACTGTCACAGACGCTAATGACCATCCACCAGTCTTTATCCCCGCTGAGTATAACGTGAGAGTGACAGAAAACTTGAAACCAGGAGATACAATATTAACGGTGACGGCTATTGACAACGACGCGGGGACAAACGCGCAGTTTACGTTCGCCATTACCGGGGGCGATGATGCCGACATGTTTGCAATCAAGCCGAGTCCGAACAATGCTAGCATTGGAGAAATTTACACCATTTTGCAGCTTGATCGCGAAACTGTTCCTCAGTATAATCTAACTATTACGGCCACGGACACTGGAGGGCTACAGGGCGTGGCGTTAGTGCGTATTGTCTTGACAGATTATAATGATAATGGTCCCTGGTTTGTACCGCGGTATTTCGAAGGTACTGTCAAAGCTGGCATTAGCCAACAACAACGCGTCACCGAATTGCGAGCTTACGATCCAGATGAAGCAAGCAATGGTGCTCCGTTTACGTTCACAGTAGAGACTCACAAAGATCGTTTCGACCTCAGGGAAAATTCCCAAGACACAGCTACCACCGAGTTACTCTTCTCCAAAGAAACCTTTAATCGGCAGGTCAAGCAGATTTGGGAAGTAGAAATCAAGGCTGAAGATAGCGGAAGTCCCCGTCAAACTAACACGACACTAGCATATGTTCAAGTGCTTGATGATCAGAACACGCACGAACCATTTAATGGACAGTTGACAATAATCTTGAATGCTTACAACGGCAGGTTTGCTGGTGGTGTTATCGGCACGGCCTACTATCAGGATAAGGACTTCGGTGGCGACAGAAATAAATACTCCATGGGTTCTCAGCAGTACTTTACCCTCAATGAAAACAGTGGCGAAATCACCGCCGAAGCAAACATTCCCATTGGCCGGTACAGTTTTAGCGTCGACATCGAAGAACAAAATCAGCGTTCTGGAAACTTCCCCAAGACCGTGAAATCGGACATAACCGTCATTGTACAAAGCGTCACCAATGCAGCGATCCTTCAAAGTATTGCAGTTCAAATCCTGGCCATGCGGTTACCAAGCCGCTTTGTAGGTGATTATTATTACGAAATGAGGAGGGTGTTGGCTAGTATCCTGTCTTCAGGCAATGAGAACGCGATTTTGATTTTCAGCGTCCAGAAGTCGCCAGATGGCCGTGTTCCCATTGCAGTCGCTCGGTTTGGACTGGAGATTCAACTTGCTGTTGAGATCGCATCTGGGTCATTTATGGCTCGTACAGATGTAGTACAGCGGTTAGTGTCAAACAAGCAAGACCTCATCGACTTAGGTGAGTTGATCGTTGGTTCATCATTTCCGTGTCCTTATATTATGTCATCAAGCAGTTGTTTTATATGAGAAAGTTAGATGCGGGTTCTAAGAGTTTATAGAGCGATTTTCATATGATCTTGAAATGAAAACGTGCGAGCAAAACAGAAATTACAAACGAACGGAAATATAGCGATTTGATTGGTTTATCGAACGGATATAAACGCGTGTGGCTTTTGGTTGGTTAATCGAACGCTCGGCTGACAAAACCTCATGCCCAAAGAACTTTCTAGAAATCAACCGATACTTCGCGTTGACGTCATACTGCAACACGATTGACCAATCGAACATGGATTGGCCATCTCCATATTTGGGTTTTCTTTGGCGGGAAAACGGAGAGGCCATGTTTTGATCTTTTCATCCACTGACTGATAAAACAAATAACGAACACTTACCGAAACCATTTTTCAAGGTCATAAGAAAGTCGCTCTAATGGGGAACACGATTAGTCATGTTCCAGGGACATTTCAAGAACAACAGGGTGACCAGTAGCTATGTGTGTGTGTCTGTTGTGTAAAAGGTCATGGGTGTAACTGTTCCACTTCAATTTTAAAGCTGCCTTAAATAGTATATAACCAACTTTATCAAAAAAAAAAAAAAAAAATGATGAAATTCGATGGTGATGATGATGAAATTCCGTCAGAAGCAGTATACTGTCACACACTGTGAAGTGGAGCTAAGTCCTGCGATTGAAGGGCCTAATTCGATTGTTCGCCCAGACTAGAAAATGTCGCGGGGACTTTAGTTTGTTGTTTATTGTTGCACGAACAGAGTGAAAACAACAGGGTTGTTGCGCAAACATTCACGTGAAGGTCCCTCCCTCCGGCTGGCGCCTTTGTGACATTGTGTCCACGCAACATTCCTATGTGTCATATTTGTGCGACATGTCAGAAGATAGATGCTCCCAAAAATTTGTGCCGCGTGTATTAAAAAATGTTAGAGCTCACCAAACAGACTCGTCCCATCAACATGGCGTTTCGTCTCTGTTCAGCGACTTTTAGTACTGTATAAGCTTTTCTATTGGCACAGACAGGCGCCGAGTTCTTATTATCATTGTCTCAGATATAATTCTTGTATATTTGATTGATAAAACAACCTCACTGGTAAGGAGAGGTTTTTTAAATCAATCCTTTGACTGCTGTATGTATTCCGTACATTCAGGTGCATTTTATTGTCCTGACGCTACTAGACTGCAGAATAGTCCGTATTTTTGCGTATTCAAGTATGCGCGAACAGTCAAACAAAAGGTCTGGAACGAGGCTGGGGCTTGTGAGGCTCGCGTGAGGCTCTTACGCTATTTTTACGCTACGCTAAACCAATTTTGAGAAAAAAAACGACGCTGCTGAAGCTGACGCTGCTATGTTTAACAGTGCTCGACTGTGAATAAGCGTGTTCTTTCAACTTAACAGGTCTGACAATTGGGAAAATCGGCATTGATGTCTGTGCCTTCGAACTAGAGGATGTCGGAAAGTGTATCAACAAGGTCGAAGCATCCTCCCAGTTCACCGTTGTAAGCGGTAACTATGGTCAGCTAAAAGGCAACGAAGCGCCAACTTCATCGTTGACAATAGTGTCCATTAACATCATCCTGAAAGCTGAACACGTGTCAATCATACCGCCTGACACCAACTGTACCACTGGTTCGGGATGTTTGCACGGGGGCACGTGCCACAACGCTGTTCCCAAGGGAATCATTTGTGAGTGCGGTCGGGATTACCGCGGACCTGAGTGCCAAAGTACCACTAGAACCTTCAAAGGCAATTCGTATATCCACTTGGAGAAGCTGGTGGCTTATGAACGAAGCTTTGTTTCCCTTCAGTTTATCACAGGAACGGCGAATGGACTGTTGCTTTACCAAGGACCACTGTTTGACGGTAATAACGCTCTCATGTGTATTGCATCCTTTTTCTTAACAACCTGCGAACGAAAACGTCCTTAGACAAAGGCCTCCAACAAACTACTCTTGAGAACCGAAGACTTGACTTAAGCCGCGTGGAAGGCATAAGACACCCAATTATGTTTTTTGGTTACATTCAAACCTCCCTTAAAAGAGCTATCTTTTAGCCCGAGAAAACAGCCGACATTTGGCGACGCTACCACTGGTTTCCCCGCCAAATGAAGTCTGAGAAACAAGCGCAGAAATTCCATACTGATGACGCGTCACTACCCAGATCTGGGTAGTACTTCTGATTGGTCGTGCCGCGTGGGAAATTTATTTCAACCAATCAGAAGCACTATCCAGAATTTGGTCGTGACGCGTCATCAGTATGGAATTTCTGCGCTCGTCTCTCAGACGTCATTTGGCGGGAAAACTAGTGGTAGCGTCGCCAAATGTCTGCTGTTTTCCCAGGCTAGCTATTTTTGGAACCGAGGTAAATGCTCACTGCCGTAGAGAGATGGCCGTTGGAGAAAGGTTCGACTGTATTTTAACCCTTTTATCCCCAGTATCCACATACCCATTCTCCAGACCGCGTTTTCCATACATTTCCTTAAGGAATTCCTCAGAACGTTCGTCTCTTTTTTTCTTGTCCATGTCAGGTGCCAACAATGGTCTGCCGGATGTGATGGCTTTAATGCTGGTAGACGGGTTCATGAAGCTTGTACTTACCTTGGGACCACACCCTAATGCTCCATTAGAGCTGTACATGAACAAAGGTGATCGCTTGGATGACAGAAAGTGGCACACGGTTCAAGTCATTCGGGAATTAAAGGTTAGCAAACCTGAAGCTTTTATTCCTATAACGTAGGAAGGGATCTGAAAGACATCTTGATTTAATGCGAAGGAGAAGAGGAGAAGGCGTGAGGGGTGGGATAAGCTTTGCGTTGGCCTTCTGAACAACAGACCACTTGCACGATGGCGTCATTTTACTACTACTACCAGAATCCTTTTTGTTTTTCGTTTCATATTTAAATTTGGTGATCCCATTGAGGTATAAATAACAAAAGCCGCAATTTGCACAGGAAAGCAAGTAGTAGTAAAATGACGTCATCGTGCAAATGACCTATTTATAAGCCTGTCTGTTGCGCGTGCCACGCGCGCGCTCCACGCCAGCTTCCCGCTTACCCTCGCCCACCTGAAAGCGCCAAAAATATCGCCTGTTCTGCAGGCTACCGAGTGGATAACAGTGCTTTATCCACATTTTGAACAACCGAGGCTTGAGCTTTAAATCACGCAACATAAACCTCGAAACAATACTAAGATTAGAATCTTGATATCTCAACAGTAATGTATCCAAAGAAAACTGAGCTTTCGACTCACAACACTCAACACTTTTACGTGCTTTATGGTAAACTAATCCGTGAAAGAAACCTTGTCTGTAGACCGTCAGCTTGTCTCTTAATTGCTAGTTTCAAACCGAGAAAGGCTGGGTAGGACTCCTTTTATTAAGGGATGAACAACGGGACACCTGTATGGTCAGAAAGAGCACATTGAAATTAGCAACATTCTCAAGTGTGGTGAATGCTATACAGCCATTGAAAATCTCCAAAATTTACTAGGAAATAATGACGTCCGGACAGTGTTGCAGGCAATCCATACATCTCTTATAAATTTTCAAGCCTCTAAATAGCTGTATCCTGTTCAACATCGGGCCGATCGACACCAAACTTCAGATTTTTCGTAACCTCATAGTGCTCTTTCTGACTATATGGGTCTCTTTATCCCATAACAAACCGACTCAAAGCCAGCCCCTCTCGGTTTAAAACTAGGCAATGCATACGAGTCTATTCTCACTTTAAATTCATCTTTTGGTTTACGTCGCAGAAAGTTACTCTGAGGATTGATAAATGTTCCAGCTCTGCTATCGTGGAAGATGATGGACGAATCGTCGAAAACAGAGAAACCTGCGAGATCGTTGGCGAAGTTTGGGGCGCTTCAATGTAATTATTTCATCTTAATATTTTATTACACAAGTCCAATTTCAGTTTGGTAAAGTACCGATAAACAAACATTACATCTGGAAAGTACTGTTCAGGTGCATTTGGACTGTTCACAGTCCCCTATTTTTTCGTGAGGTCGTTGAGATATTTTCTCGCTTTCTCCAAAATCGCCCCCGCCCTCGCCCCCTAAGTAGTTTTAACACTCACCGTTCAGATGGCAGCCCGGTAACGAAAAGGCAGATCTCGGGAAAAATAGGGGATTGATTCCGCATGGACTAGTCTTCATACATTTTTTAATAGGATTTTTGGGAAGATGTTTGTAATGATTATGATAATTTTTTATAATTGTCTTAACCTTCTCCCTTGATGATGTATTGATTTTGTTAGGAGAACATTAATCTTGGTCACTTTCAATGTATTGTGCAACAAGAAATTTTCTCCCCTGAGCTAGTTTATTCATGACGGCTAGACGATTCCTGAGGCTGCGATCCTTTTGGTCACGGTTCACCTGTTTAAGGGTAACGAAGGTAGCGGGAACGAGATTGATTCCGCATGGAGTATTTTAGAAGGATTTTAAGATGTTTGTAATATACTATGATAATTTATTATGGTGGTATACACTGTGTTTGCGTGTCTATTTTTCATCGAATACCAAACAACTCCACTTGACGATGCACGATTTCTCTTGTCTTTGCCCGTCGAATTATTAGCGAGTTTGAGAACGTCATTTTTCACACATTCGTTTTTTTTTTTTGTAGTTATTTGAATGGTTTTGGACCTCTTCAAATTGGTGGTGTACAGACCGCTCTCACCAGCTTATTCCCAAAGATAAGCTTCGGCGGTTTTAGGGGCTGCATCCGAGACATAACCGACAACGGCCTTACGTACGATTTGCTGAATCCGTTACTTCAAGTGAACACAGAGTTGGGATGTAAACTTGATAACAACGCGTGTCCAGACTGCAATGGCCACGGTTACTGCGAACCGTTGTGGACTAACAGCATTTGCGTCTGCGACCTTGGTTACACCGGGCCCAATTGCAACCAAAGTAAGTAAATGAGGTCTTAAACAATAACAAGCTGAGTCGGATCATAAACGTTTCTGGGAAACTGCCCATCTACCCCTCCCTTAAGCCAACATTTTGCCCCAAGTACTACACCAAAGTGTGGCACAGTACCTATCCGATATGTGACTCTCCACCGTCGAGATCGGCGCAACACAGCTTCGCTCCGTTACAGTAATCGCGCCGAAATCACCCTTCTTGTGTGAACAGGAGCCCTATCTGGTATGGGTTTCGTGCCGGCGTAAAAGCTCTCCGGTATAGTGTATAGATATCTGAATTGAAAGATTTTTATAAAAACTGTATTGTTTAATTATCCTGAATTACTGGCCCTTATTTACAAAAAATCTTTTCAATAACTGAAAATTAACAAATGAATCGTATATAATAAGTTTCAAACTCATTTTCTGATATTAGGGGCAATTAAGCAACAACGTTTTTGAGCCGCATTGTCAACCGTATGGCCTTTCTTCATTTTTTGACGGTGGTTTCTGCAGCAAAAATTTTAATAGTCAAATTTGCGCCTCCTATAACAGTAAATGTTAGCTTTGTTGGGGATCCAGAACAAATTTTATATCATCAACGGGCATGTTAAGAGGAAAATACCAGCCAGAGGTTCCGGTTGACGTGCGTCGCCATCAAAACAAGTCGCTGCTTTTTGCAGACGCTGTTATTAAAAATTGAAAACCTATTCATATTGAAATATATTAAAATATAAAAAAATATCAATGTAAGTTTTCAAAAAACCTTTTGCCCGGACTGTTTGGACACCGCATATGTAAAAGTATACTTATTCTGTTCGTGCAAAGCTTTGGCATATCAAAAAGGCGCTGTCGTCTTAGGTTATAGCGTGAGTTGTCATAGTCTGGTGGGAGGAGCGCCTTCAATTTATGGTTTGGATCACTAACAATGTTATCAAAAAGCCTGCTACATGGTATACTTAGCTTTAGTGTTTTGAAGCGCAACGTTGTGAATAGTCTTCCTTTGTGAGTTTCTTACTTAGGACATTCTCTTGTTACTAGGAACAAATGCTAATTGGTACAGGCCCAACAGCTTCACTCAGTACAGAGTGAAGCAAACCAGAAGAAAACGTCGTGAGCTTGTTCCCCCTCCGGTATCAATGGCTAACGAGTTCTACACTAATATTGCGTTGCAAGTCAGGGTGTCGCCTAATTCGTCCGATGTGGTCATTTTCTTGGCCTCCAACAGCTTAGGAACAGAGTTCAACAGAATTGATGTGAGTCAAACTGATTACTAATTACTTGTAACACTGACTCTTTACTGACTGGGCCTCTTCCTGGGTGTTCCACTCATGTCCAGAAATAATTCGAACTTTGGGAATTATGTATTGTAGACAGTTCTTTCTCTCTCTAAACTTGGGTGCGGCTCCCAATAATTCAATTCCTGGGAAATTCCCCTGCATTTGAGATTCTACGTGAATGACGTTTTCGCTGTCGTCGTCGTCGTCGTTGTAAAATCTCCCTGTGATTACGCGCTTGAAATCTCCAACAGAAGAAACTGCCTCGTAGCATGCTCCAGTGGTGCTAGCATTGCAGCTTTTGCGTCTGCATCTTCACTCGGCGCGGCACATTGGTTTTCCTTTTTCCTAAGCTTGTGATGTGTAGAAGGGTACCTTGAGCTGGGCGCTAGCCAGAGTACCGTGAAGATGCCTTTGCTACCTTCGCCTGCAGCTACGTTTATGGCACCTGCCCTCCAATAATTATTTTAATGGCGTTAAGTTACATTAACGTTGTCGCACTCTGTGTTATCAATTAACATGCAGGTACATAATCATGTGTTGCGTTACGTATTCCGACTGGGTGACCGCATGAAGATTCTCAAGATCCCGCAACTGAACGTGACGGATGATAAATACCATACAGTGGTGGTGAAAAGAGAAGGCAACTATGCGAGCCTTCAAATCGATTACGACGGCAAAGTGGAAGGAACCACTGGAGGCCTCCACAAACTGCTGAATATGGGCGGAGGAAGTTTCTTTACTGGTGGTTTACCCAATATCACAGAGGTACGTTATAAGTACTCATATAACGTTTATATCATCCTGCTAACAGAGCCTTTCTTTCGCTTGCTCGATTTTTCCGTACGCGAAAAAGACTGCATGAATCGAGTAAGATCTTTGTTAAAGGAGCTGTGTCACGAAATTCAGCCAAATTAGGTAATTGCAAAATGCCCGTTAAATTAAGAGAAACGTAAAAATAACCGCACAACAGATACAACACATGGCACGGATGGGCAAAATTGAAGAGGATTGAAACGGATTGAAATTACGGTCTTTGAAAACTGTTCAGCCTAAACGTTTTTTAAAGTTGATCTCTGCTGTTTGCAACTTCAAAAATAACGCTCAGTATTTGTTTGTCTGGAATCCTTGATTTTGTCATTTCCATGTAATTTTTTTGCTTACTTTAAGTTCCATAGCGATTGAGGGCGAGTAATTGGCAAAATTAAACAAAATGAACTGGACTTCCGTTACACAGCCCCTTTAAGCATGCGTGACATGTTTCTAGTATACAGTTCCGAACCCAGGCCAACAAGCCGTGCGCTTGCTACAGCAGGCTCGGTAATGGCCATCGGTTTATCAACAAACGGATGCTCGCACTCGGAAAAACCAGTTTGGCGAGAGGAAACAAGATTGACTAGTCTAGAAGTTCAGGCTGCGGCCTCCTCAAAGGTTTGACGCAAAATTTAGGCAGAGCATCTTTTTCTCCGCCCCACTCAAGAAGACGGGAGAAGGTTCTGCTAACAGGGCTCGGAAGCTTATATATAAGCTACAACCAGTCGCAAAAATGTGGACAGAGACACTCCGCCGACGAAAAACCGCTCTTTCTTACTGCAAATCGCTGCTCGTCACACGTCTGTGAAATATAATAATCACCTCCCTCCTCCCCTCCATTCAAAGTTGTTCCTCCAAGGTTTAAGCATGGTCTTGTATCGTAGCAACTTTGATAAGGGGAGGAGAGGGGATTACAAGCATAAAATCATAAGCAGGTCAGTTAGGCC